TTATGATATCCATTAATTAACCATATTTTCAATAACATTATGTCGGCACCATTATTTTAATAACGATCATTGATTTGCTTTCCTTGTATTATTGATAATAAAACTATACATGTAAAAGTAAATTAAATATAAGGATGGACATTGAATTTTATACATATATTGAATGCAGAAATTTTAAACCCGTTGTTACACCTACCTACAGAAACAGAAACACGTGATAATGAGACTGAGAAACTTTCTCATAATGAAATGCTCATTGTCAAGATCTTAGAGTTTATGAACCCCAATAATTATTTTTAGTCAACTCTGGGGTCTACTAGTTGTTAGTCAATGACTATGCTTCAGGGACACTGATCTAGGCTTCCACTGTTTTAGAGGGACATAAACCCTAAAAGGAGACAACAATAACTAATAGAATACAACTCTAAATGACAGATAGTTTGCACTCACAGAAGATAAATGTAATATAAAATGATCACTAGAGAGATTAGTAAAGGCTATGACATTTGTATAAGACGACTTCAAAAATCAAATATGCACTGATGTACTATTTTTCACTTTTTCTTTCTCTTTACAGATACAAAAATTTAGTTTTTTAAAACCATTTTACTCCTACATGATTTGTCAAATGGTTGTTAAATGGTGTCAAAATACCATTGTCAAACAAGAAATCTTAACACAACCTATTGAATCTTGTCTTTTTCAGAAGTTTTGTCTGATGTTGAACTTTTACCTCACAGTGCAACTTCTAACAATGAGTATGTTTTTGTTGACTACTTGTATGAGAAGGTAGTAATGTTAATATTCTGAATATAGACGTGAAGGTTGAAATGTGTGCAATGGAACGATGAAAGGAGAAAAATATGAGAGGAAAAAAGAAGAATTAATTTCTCCATCAAAGAGCAGTATATATTTTGTAGAAAATTAACAAGATAATAAAGCAATGGTTTTATCGAAAGCAGGAGGTTGGGCTACTTTTTGAAGCAACCTAGCATAAATTTTTGAAGAATGGAATGATTGCAGGACTTTGAGCTTTAGAGGGAGAAAAAGAAATTCATAGGCAGGTGAGTTAGGTGAAGCAATGATTTCCCATTTTCCTTTCTGAAGGATTAAATTATGGGCAAAAAACCCCATTGTGTTTAGGAGAATGGGAACAATATCAAATGCATCATGCAGTAACCCTTGATGATCCTCTATGCGTAGAAACTAGAAAGTGTGTGTCCTATTTAATGGTCAAAATGAAGAGGACAGTGCTTCGACCGTTGGAGAAAAAACAGCTTTCTCTTTCGGTTATTTTGACTTGAGACTTCAAAAAAGTGAAAGTTTGAAATCAGAGAAGGCATGCACATATCAAATTCAAAGTGATTGGACCCCATTTTGGACGATTTCTGAACCTTTTGTCCCCAACATATACCTTCATTACCTTCCACTATACCAAATTCTTCATTTCGTTTCTCCCACTTTACTTCCATATTTGTCAAAATGAAGGATGCATTATTCACTTTGTTAGCATTTAAGTAAGAGAGCAATTGCATAAATGTCATGTCTTGTTCCTTTTCACCATTCATGATTTCTTTCGAGTTGTCACATATGTTTCTTTTATATTCATAACCAAATGAATCGTAATGGCGCCAAACCATTTTCTTTTCTTCTTTTTCCCTCTCTTCTAGTCATTGTTACTGCTTTTCTGAAAGTCATCAAGCCTTTATTTTAAACAAAGGATCCAAATGTTTGGGTGGAGATAACGGGGAAGCTCTAGCACTCAAGAGTCGGTGGAGGAAACACAGTTTAGTAAAGAATACCTTATATATGTCATATTTTTTTTGTCAGTCTAGGACGGGATGATTCGATTAACTAAGAATACTCAATAAAACGGTTGGCAAGTACCATGAATCCTGTAGTCGATCTTAAACAAAAATTAGGACTAAGGATGATTATCTTAAACAGGATCATATTATTGTAATTTGGTTGACATTAATCTAAAGATCATTCCAAAATCTATAAATATAGGTTTGAGATATTACGATAAATTGGTTACATTTAATATGTATTTATTATTGGATTGTGAAATCTATACGACATCAGAATACTTTCTGCATGTAACATTTTAGTACGACCAAACAGTTATAAGAAGAGCGAATAATAACTCAAACAAGAATTTAGACTAATTAAGTTTGCAGAACGGTTAACCTCGACCTTATTGAAAAGAAGTATCAATGTTTCCACCTTGAATCTTAATATGTTAGATTAATTACCGTATTTAAATTTTTTTATTATAAATAAATGTAAAATTTGTCTGATATATCCGTTTGTAGACTTTCAACCGACAATATTTTAATTGAATCCAGAAAACTGTTTTTAACACAAGTGAAAACAATAATAACTACGCATGATATATATTCCTAATTGTAGCTTATGTTAAATGACATGGAATATGTGAAACAGTAATTAGTTGTATCCTCTCATTATTATAGTATAGTGCATCTTAAATTGAATTTTTATGATATGGCTTGTGTCTGTCTTTCCACTGGTTTATTATAATTGGGGGCATCTCATGTTTCAGTGAACTATAATAAGGTGCAAATGGGCATAATGAAATGTTAACAACAATTAACCTTATAGTATCTTGATGTTTAAGGAAATCTTTATATGGGTCCAGATTCCATGATTCTCTAAGTAAAAGCCATTAGGGAGTTTTTTAATAATCTACTTTAACCGTAATCAACTAAAATAATCTTTACCATTTAATATAGTATCTACAAATTTCTAGAGGCATAATATGGAGTATTTTAGGTCATCCTAATCATAGTTTTTTAAGCACACTTCACTATTATATTTCCTTGCAGATATGCTGATAATGGGAACATGAATTTGACTTTAGGAAATCACTACGACTTAGTGGTCCCTTTAAAAAGCATAAAATCTAGCTACAAATACAATTACAGATGCCCCTCTTACTTTCTTCTAGCATCTTTTTCAAGCTAAGTGCATTAGGTAGTTTTGGCAATATTCTCCATTGCAGAATAATTTGGAATTCTGAATTGCTCAAGTCTCTAGCACCTTTTGCTGTCTATTTATTGTAATGTAGCAGTGTGTTAAGTCCTTTGCTGAAAGGAGAAAATTATTGATAGGTTCATGGAAAAGAAAGTTCACCAAAAAAAGATATAAAAAATATAATATTAACAAGATCTTAATCTAATCTTACAAGAAATTGATACTATTTTATTTAAAATCTTAGAACAACAAATTAATCATATTTAATATTACGTAGTGTTTTACTTTTTCAATTTCTATCTAACATACTTAGATTTATACATAAAATTATAACAATTATATTGATTGATACATGAGGGTCCCATCATTTCCCTTTTTCCATGCCCTTGACAGAGCAAACAAAGCATGGCTAACAAGGAAATCATGTTTTGTGTCACAGGGAAGAAAAGATGTAGATATGATTGAACATATCTTCCAACAAAGACAGACCATGCAATCGGTTTTATCCACCTTGTCCCCCAAGGATCCCATAAGATCTAAGGGTCAAAATGGATAATGCAGGACAATATCATGGGAGCACATTTTCATTACATAACACTCATAAGTGCTTCTTTCCCTCTCATTCAAGCTTTTATCGATCAGTGGCCAAATGGTTTTATTGTGTGTACGCTAACAAAAAAAAGATAGATGACTAAGAGTCATAGCAGCAGTTCTCTGTTACAGTTCGAAATGAAATATTGAGTCACATAAACTTGAACTCATTAAAGTTTATGCAAGAAGAATCTGAAATAATAAATCTTGAGCTATGGTGTTTAAAGATGATGACTTAAATTAAATGAGAATGATTTAAGTTAAGAAATTAATTGAAAATAAATACTTATGGAATCGTTTTAGAGATTTCAAATTACTTATTCATATGTATTTTACTGGAAAAGATTTAATTGGAATTAGAAAATATTTCATTCAATACGTTGATTTGAACAGTGTGAGTATCTATATAAAGAACTTTAATTCTATAAAAAAAATCTAAATTAAAAAAAAAACACGAGTAAAATCATGTCTAAACAACTGAAATAAAACAACTAAAAATTGGCCCTGAAGTTACCACAATATTTGGCTAATGAGTAGTAAAGCAAAAGACATGGTCCATTTGTCTATAATTATTAAGATTATCACGTGCCTTGGCATCATTAAAATGAATAGGTGGTCCATTAAATTATGAAATTTAGCAAGATAATTTTGCATCAACAATAAGATCTAGTTGCTCAAAACAACCTGAGTCACAATTTTGTTTACTAAGCAAGAAATAACCCTCCTAGATTCTCCATAATTTTATCATTGCAAGGATCTTCTTATCTACTTCAATCTATTTAAAGCATTAATATCAAAAGTTTTATTCTTATGCTCATTAATGAGTATCAAATCTCTAAACGTATCACCTCATCAATATAAAAATTATAAAAATTTATAAAGATTAAGGTCCTGTTCTTTTGAGTGGATCTGAGAGAGTAGATTTGAGGGGATTTGAGAGAATTTGAAAATAAATTTTTTTGTCGTTTATTTGAGTGAATTTGAAAATAAAATTTGTGAGAATTAGTATAAAATTGTATTGACTGACAAATTAAAAAAAATTATTTCCAAATTCACTCTTATTTACCTCCAAATTCACTCAAATAAACTATAAAAAAATTTATCTTCAAATCCTCTCATATCTCCTCAAATTCACTCAATACCTAAAGCAAAAGAAATAATTTATCAAAAGTAAATAATCACGTATATTATAAGACAAGAAAAACTTAAACTAAATAAGAATAATATAAATTAAATACTTAAATACACGATAAACGAATCTAAAACCTTTAGATGAAATAAATATTTAATGGTTGAAATATACTAAACTTAACCAGAAAACTATATTATAATGTTACATTGATTGATATTTTTCTGGGGACATAATATTAATCACGGAAAATAATCCATGTTTCTGTTGCTTGTAGATATATAGCTTGAAAATATCATACTTAACTTAGCTGGGGTTAGAAACCAGTCCACTGCAGTGTGACCAAATCGCTATGGCAACATCACGAACACTCGCATCTTCCATTCTCCATTCCCACACTATTCCACGCGCGCCATGCCGCTTCCGCTTTCACTTTCGCTTTCCTTCAACTTTCTGCACTCTTACATTTTCCTCTTCCAAATTTCCCGCTAAATCTTCTTCGCGCCTCACCGTCTTCTCCGCTTCATCCACCGACCACCGCCACAGCACATCTCAAGACCTCGCCGTCCTTCTCGAAGTCGACGGGTGATTCGATTCCTCATTCCATCAACCTTCTCTCACTACGCTCCACGATTCCGTCTTTGTGTTCTGCTTCTCACACTCTTAAACTATTGTTATGTTGTTTTAGGGTTCTTATGGACGCGCATCGCGTAGGAAATCGTATTGCCTTTAACAAAGGTTCGACCGATTTCTGCATCGGCCGTTTACGTTGCTGTGATTCTGTGTAATGTGGTGTAACTTTTCTTCCTTTTCCCGCAGCTTTCGAGAGGCTAGGGCTCGATTGCGCCAACTGGACTGAACCTGTCTATTCGGATCTTTCGAAGTGTGTTTGTTTCTGGTTATCTGTTAGATTAGAATGATCTGTTGCTTATGCGTGTGTTTGTGTGGTTGAATTAGCTTTGCCATTGCCACACTTTACTTTGGCGTCGAGTAAATTGATGCTTTGAATTTCTTTTTTGAAGACTCTTTTGATCGGTAAATATTGGAGTGTTTTCACAATTGAGTGCTGCAAGTTATGCAAGTGAGTGTCTCCATTGCTTATAGACCATTTTCCAATGACTTTCTAGGAGAAGTGCTGGAGATGAAGAAAAGATGGTGTTTCTGTATTTTAATCGCGTAAGTTGTTCGTCTTTTGTCTGATTTGCGAATGAGAAAAGAGGCGTGTTTACTGGTAATATTAGTAGTTTTCTTAGTTGCCGACATTAGGTAAGCCATATTCTGTTGTTGTATCTATAAGCAGATTGGATGGCCTGCTTCGTTACCCACAAATGAGCAGGGACTATTTGCAAAAAGAGTTTTGCAGCAAAAGGTTTTGTCCTTACACTTGATCTTGATGAATGGTATACTACTGATAATTTGTGTGCTTTTTTCACTTTGGTGTATGAGGGGGACTGAGGCGTATTAAAGGATGTTAGTTTACTAGGAATGCGTTATTGATAAAAAAAATAGAACCATGCTGAAACTTTCCTAATTGCCGTGAACTTTGCCTTATAAGGAGGAAATATCTGTTATGCCTCTCTAGTGTAATACTGAACTTTATTAAGACCACAACATATGTCCTAGCAGAGAAGCCTTTTCGTCTTCCCATTTCAAGCATTTATTGGACTAGTCACTTAACTGTTGTGTTATTACGGAAAATTTAGCCACAACTAATGTGATAATTAAGATACGGTATTATGCTGAGATCAATTCTTAGCTGCAGTTATTAGTGATTAGAAAATATCAGTATGTGGATCTGCTTCACAAATGTATAAGCCTCTTAATCCCTTCAAGAACTTGTAAGTTTTGCTTTTGGCTCCTTATTCAATCTCGTTATCTAAGAAATGTTTGATGCGGGCATTCAGAAAGGTGAATCTCCTGTCTACAAGCCAATTTGGATAGCTTATTTTGGGGCAAAAAAACCTTCAACCAAAGATTAATGAGAGATTTTGACAACAATTTATTCCTAAACATTCTATATATTATTCTCTGAATAAGATTGTTTCATCTAGTGAATGTTGTTTTGAGTTTATGGATGCTTTAAATGACAATTATCGGATCCAGAGGATCATATGCTTTTACGTTGTTTCTTAGAATTATTAGAATAACTTGTCCTCAGTTCTTCTTCCCCAAATACAAAAGTAAAAGAGAAGTATAGATGGAAAAACAATTTCAACTGGAGGGGGTGTGTCTAAGTTTTTCAAAACATGCGACTTTGATATTTAAGACCTAAGGAACTCAATTACCCTAGTAAGCTAAAAATCCTTCCCCAGATGATTTTTCAGTTTACTCATATTTAGAAGTTTATAAAAATTTGTAGAGAATCCTATTCAACTCTTGATCATATATTGGCAGGAAAAGGCGTTAGAAGAGTTTGTGATGTCAAAAGATCTACCTTTACGACCTGGTCTCGAACAGTGAGTTATCTCGTATTCTGTGAATATGATTGTATGTCACATTATGTATTTCATGTATGGGAAGCTACCTTTAAAAAAGATCTATATTTATGTAAATAGAGAACAAGATGTACATTAGCTAAGGATAGCAGACTCTTTAAAAAGGTTTCTATTAAGTTATCATACCTAGTCATTCTTTCACTTTGTTGTTCTGAGCCACTTGGCCATTCAGGTGGATTTTAACCATAAGTAATTTTGACACTATTGATTTTTCACTGTTCTACCTTTGTGGATAGCATTTTTTCTTCATGATTTAAACATTAACAGGGATATATTATTTAATTGAAATATTTGTTCGAGGCCCATGAATAAATAAGGATAATTTTGGTCTGGGTGTTTTTCCCTATAACTTAATTTGGTTTCCAATAAAATTGATATACTGCCGCTTAAAGCTATTTGTGGATGTCATGTGCAAATTTCATGTTTACATTCCTCTTTTTCTTGATAGTAGTTGATCTTCTATTCATTTTTGGAAGGATTTCAGTTTACAAAAGTCAAATGTCCCATTTTAAAATGTTTTTCCTTGTTTTCATTGCCTCTTAATATTGATCTGTACTTCTATTGCTTATATTAATTCTCTTGAAGGTTCAAATATTAACAGGATATTTCATAAATTTAGGAACTTGGATGATCATGGATCTTTAATATGCTTATTTATATTCCTTAACATATAGTAATGTCTCCATTGACAGATTTATTGATGATGCATATAATGAAGGAATTCCAGTGGTAATACTAACGGCATACAGTAAAAGTGGTGACAATATTGCTGGGTAATTTTATTTAGCTCCAAAATTTTGCATGGCACTACAATACTAAGCGTGATAATATTATGATTATTGTTGGAATTTGATTTTGTGGTCTTGAGATGTTATTGATCACTGAGAAGCTCAGTTTACTGATTACTTACAAAAATTTTTTAGGTGTTGTAAGGGGGTAGGGTGGGGTGAGTTGTGCTTGTGAGCTAATATTTCCTCCCTCTTGTGCATATTGAACTTTTAGGTCCATAATGGAAAAGCTTGGCAAAGATAGAAGCATAAAGGTCATTATTGTAGGGAATAAGGAGGTTGATCAAAGTTTATATGGACAACTAGTCTCGGGAAAGGTAATTGCTTCTGATTTGGATGAAGAGCTTGCCAAGGAAGCCAATAGAGCTGGTATATACTTCAGTCATTGATTATGTATGTGCCCCTGCAAGCATTTTTAACGCACAATGTTCTTTGCTAAGGGACTTTCCACTTCTGCCATTTTTTGTTAGTTTCTGCTGAAAGACAAAGACTAGCGAAGGAGGTAGCATCCGTGCTAAAATTGAGCGTTGAGATTGATACCAACTCATCTGAAAGGTTAGTTCATTGATCTCCAATAATTTTCACCAAAAATAAATAGAATATCTTGGTCCTTTTGTTTCACTTACCGTAGGGATCTATACTTGTAGAATAAAGAAACTTGAAAATGTGTATGACTCAGCTTTGTAGTTTTCAAGGTGTTAGAAGTGGACTTTAAGCCTAACTCAACCCCATAAAACCGGCTTGTAGGGTGAGGTTTGCACCACTTATAAACTATGAATACATCTTGAGCGTGAGATTAGTAATGGGTGGTTCGATAGCGGGTGGAACAATATGCCTAGCAAACAATATCGCTAGGATAAGCTCTCTAACCATGGTTCTGATACCATATTAGAAGTGGACTTTAAGCCTAACTCAACCCCACAAAACCGGCTTGTAAGGTGAGGTTTGCACCCACTTATAAACTATGAATTGGCCTTATCTCTAGTCGATGTGGGACTTCCAACACAAGGAAACAATGGTTGACGTATGTTTAGATAGGGTAAGGAGAGCAAGAAAAGAAAAGGAAAGAGTGTGAGAAGGGATGGGAAGGGAACTGGGTGTTAAAGTAGTGTTTTTTGTCTATGTCAAAATTGGGGGAACTTCTTAACAGGAGGGAGGTTTGCTCAAAAGCTGCCCATCCCCTGTTTTATTTTCCATCTAATTAGTTCCTAAGGTGCCTTGTAGAGAAAGGAAAAGTGCATGATTATGTTATGCAAAACAACAAATGAATTTAAACTCTTTCCGACTACCTATACAAATTTTCCACCAGAAGACAAGTTCTTTCTGTTAGCAAAAAAATTGAAAACTAGAGTCAAAATAAAGTTTTATATCTAAATTGTAGACATTTAGTATAATTATTATCAAAAGTTGGATAGAATTAGAATATGATAGTAAGCCTTATGCTATCCCATTTTTTGTTGGTGTACTGAATGACTAGATACTATCATCATTCTAATGCTATTTACGTTTTTTCTTATTNTCAACCCCACAAAACCGGCTTGTAAGGTGAGGTTTGCACCCACTTATAAACTATGAATTGGCCTTATCTCTAGTCGATGTGGGACTTCCAACACAAGGAAACAATGGTTGACGTATGTTTAGATAGGGTAAGGAGAGCAAGAAAAGAAAAGGAAAGAGTGTGAGAAGGGATGGGAAGGGAACTGGGTGTTAAAGTAGTGTTTTTTGTCTATGTCAAAATTGGGGGAACTTCTTAACAGGAGGGAGGTTTGCTCAAAAGCTGCCCATCCCCTGTTTTATTTTCCATCTAATTAGTTCCTAAGGTGCCTTGTAGAGAAAGGAAAAGTGCATGATTATGTTATGCAAAACAACAAATGAATTTAAACTCTTTCCGACTACCTATACAAATTTTCCACCAGAAGACAAGTTCTTTCTGTTAGCAAAAAAATTGAAAACTAGAGTCAAAATAAAGTTTTATATCTAAATTGTAGACATTTAGTATAATTATTATCAAAAGTTGGATAGAATTAGAATATGATAGTAAGCCTTATGCTATCCCATTTTTTGTTGGTGTACTGAATGACTAGATACTATCATCATTCTAATGCTATTTACGTTTTTTCTTATTTGGTATTTAAGATAAATTAGATAATATTACATAACAATATTACTATTTCATTAAAAATACATAATTAATTTTAATTTTTGATATATTTTAGAAAATATTATACATTAGTCCCTTTTCAACTTCTAGACATTATTTTTTTAAATTATAAAGCTATATAAAATTAGCTAACAGATCAATTGCACTAATTGCATTTTATTATTAATTATCTATAATATATGTAATGAATATATTAATATTACCAAATTTTAACATCAAATGCAAAACTCGTATTTCTGAATTTGTCTTTAAAGTAGTTTTTCAAAATCTAAAAAACGTCAGGCCAAATACCAACATATGGATTTTGGGGTTTTGTTAATTTAAAATGCTTTTGTTTTTAAGGGCTTCCCTAAAATTATATTTGGCACGACTATCCTTTTAAAGAAGGGTAAAATAAAAGCTGCGTTAAATGCTACCGAAAGGCATTGAAACTGAAAATCTGAATGTAGTTTTCTTTCACATATATGTAATAAGTTTCTGTCAGCTTTTATATCTTTTGTGTTTGACTTTCCCTTGCATAAATGATTTTTTATGCCATCTAGAATTTGTATATTCACTTGAACAATTGTTCTTCCTTAAACTATAATAGATTTGTGTGTTTATTGAATATCTTTCTGTTAATTCAATGCAATCTGAAACTGTATATTTTTGGCGGTGCTGTGGCACATAAGTTGATGAACCCAAATTATCATTTCACGCCTTAATCTGCCAATTGTTCAATTAATGACTGATTTGGATGTTAGCTGTGTAGTTAAATATTATGTCAATTTTCATTAATTTGTTGATTGGTCTGTCCAGTCTAGCCAAGATTGTTGCTGCACTACGAGCGGGAGCAGAATATGCAGGGTTACCCGTCTGCAATTGTGTCCTTGTTGCTGGAAGCCAATCTGGTGTATCTGGAGCTACACAGGTGGGCATGCCAAGTGTTGTTTTACGAAGCAGGTGATTTGCTCTTGGAAGTTCAACAAACATGTAATGCAGAGTTTACACAATTGCACTATTGCATGCTTTCATCGGAAGTTCAGTAGAATTATAATTGTTTTTAAGTTGGTGTGTTCAAGAACTGTTTATATTTTATTGTTTCCTGTAGTTTGACATCTAGAGCCGAGTTTCCATTGGCAAACGCTACAGTAGATGGATTTGGAGGTGCAGATCTAACAATTTCAAAATTACGTAATATACGCCCGAAGAACAAGCAAAGGACTGAATGGTAATTTTGTCAACTTCACATAAATATTTTTAAAGAGAAAGTATTCTATCATTTTTTCCTGTGCAGAGCACTTCCCAAAAAATTAGCAATAAACACAACATAATCACACTTGCTCTGGAGTTAGAGATTTTTTTTGCGGGCAAGCAACGGAGTTTAAGATAGGTAACTTTAGACGATATGTTTGCTAGTATGATAATTTCATATTAAAATTCTGCAATGTAGAAATAGAGCAAATACGCTGAAATGTGGGATTTTTGTTTTTGTTTTCCTACTTGCGTGATCTGTCGTCGCTCTCCCAGCAACCTGAGCAAAGACTAAACTCTTCTCGATTGGAATTTGGCTGTGGAGAAGCTCCTACTGCAATTGCTGGGTAAATATAATTGTAATACGTCTGATGTAAGATTTTTATTGATAACTTCTCATGGTGGAATGAGAACGTGTTTTGTAATTGACATTGTGGCATACATTATTACACTGACATCCCAAACACTGAATCTACGTCAAGTTCAAAGTTACTCTTAGTTGTTTCTATCTTCTCTTATTTGGACGTGAAAATCTTACTTACGGTTAGGGGATGCAAACCTTTTTCTTAATTCACATGATGTCTTGTTAATTAAAAGAAAATAACATGTAGATTTAAAAGATAATTTTTTTCTTCCTATTCTACTGCAGCTACGTTTATGAAGTTGCATTTTTAATCTATCAATTTTTATTTGGTGAGACATGATTTGAATAAGTTTGGTGCCTTAAAAACGTATAGTGAAGTAGTCCTAATTATCGCTCTTATTATTCAACTGCTCAAACACTAATATCAACAAATCAAACAATATCAACCAACTAAACATGAATTTACAACTCTCAAAACATCTATAAGATGATCAAACAGTTTTAAAATCTTATCAACACTTCTTGAAGTACATAATGTTTTGTCTATCCCTGTCACCTTAAGATGCACAAAAGTTTAGATACTCTAGAAAAAAAAGTAAGAGAACTCTCCAATACTCAAACAGATACACAAAGGTTTAGATATTCTAGAAAAAAGTAAGAGAGAACTCTAGAAAAAAAAAGTTTAGAAAGATGATGTCATTTTAAATAAAAATAAAATTCATATATAAATTTTTTATTTATACTTAATATTAAAATATTCAAATCTTATTATTTAATACATGTTATTAATTTTAAAACATAATTTTCTAAACTTAAAAATAATAAGAATATTTAATGAATGACATTTGTCTAAATAAAGAAAGACAGTAAGAGTATTTATTACATGACATTTTTGTAGATTAAGAAAAATAGTTAGGTATTTCGATAAATTGGTTAACATCTAGATGTGAAATGATAAAAGAAAATCATTAAAACGAAAATGGATTTTCCTCGAAAGAAATAGCCAATTTCATGTGTTGATAAAGCTATGATTAAGATTATCAGAAACATTTTAAAATTGGTAAAATTTAAAGGAAAACTAGTTTATATGTTATTCCGTCGCTACTGGACTGAAGATAATGTTCTATAGTTGCAGAACCCAAATAGGGGTCCTTCATATAATAAGATAATTTACACGTTACAGTGAAGAGTAAAATATAAATGTAAAATAGAATAGGTAGTAAACAAAACTCATCTGGGAAGTCACCCTAACTGGTGCATTTCTTTTCTGATGCCAATCGTCTCCAAATCAAATTGTCATGAACTTTGTCATGAAAACTCAGCTTGTGGAACGTTTGTTCTTCTCCTCTGAGACAAATTTGCCGTTGAGTATTCATTATCATCATTAGATGAGGAGCCAACGCTAGATATATTGGAAATTGAGCTTGATACTGAATCAGGTTTGTGTACTTGATTTCTGAATATCTGTGTCTGAGAAGCTGACCCTTGAGATTCTTCAGGGGTTTGATTCCCCTGAGCTTCTTCAGCAAGACGCTTAATAAGGTTCATTACTGTGGGAAGAAACCTTGATGAAATGGATAGTAGTCCAGGCAGCTGCAAACAACATAGCCATAACATTAACAAACTACAATGCTAGTCACCTTTGTACCTGATATCATACAGCCATCTCTTCTATTTATCATTGTTTCTCTTACAATAACATTCAACAGAACAAAGCCAACTAGACAAACAATAAATTTTGAACTAATAAATCCTATTCGTTAACAAATTACCAATAAAATTATTATTTTGTTTTTGATCTTGAAAGCGGTTTATATAAATTGTGAAATAAAGTGATTGAAATAGTGTTTCTAAGATAAAAATAAAAAATAAAACAAACATTTATAACGAAAAAAATAATTAAAAAATATATATTAGGGACCACATGCAAAATCTGATAATTTATTAAGGACCATAAATACATAAACCTTAGATTTATATTTAGCAAATATCATAACTTTTGCGTTATGCAATTTAAAAAAAAATGCCAATGGGCTTAACTAGTGCGTGTGTGTACGTGTGCAAATGGCACGATTGCAAGAGTCATTGACATGGGTAGAAAACCCATCACAGAATCTTGACAATCTTACTGCTGGGAAAGGTAAAAAATTCACTCGTACTCACAGTGCCATGTCGAAACTCCCCAGCTATATCCATTTGTACCCAGACGGCCTTTCCAAGTAGATAGGCAACAAATATAAACAACAGGTAGAGAGGATTTCTGTTTTACATACAAGTCAGAAAATGTAATCATTAAACTGCAGAAAAAAAGGTCCAATAAAACAATAATGAAAACAACAAATAATTAATAGTTAATTGTTTTTAAAAGTGATACTTACTTCAGTAGCATCATAAACTCATTAAAACCAAGTATGAGCATTGCCATTATCGCCCACGGAGGAGGTAACCAATTGTTACTCCGCTTGAAGGCCTCCTGAAACACCAAAAAACAAAAGATAATAATGCCTTTGTTAGTATGTCAGGAGTTAGATAAGTGTTTAAGGCAAATAAAAAAAGACAAATTATATTTTCATAGAATCTGCCGCTAGGTAAAACTTAAAGGACCAAAAAAAGAAGACAAATAGAAGCTGCGAAAACTTTGGAGCAAATGCCATTCTAATAAATCCTAACAAGAAATACTCTCACCAAACTGGTTTTATCATGCAACTGAGGCAACTGAAGCAGGACAAAACCAGGTCACGGAAAATGGATGTAGAAGCATTGAGGTTTGAGATTCACGTTCTAAAAGCCAGACTGGATTAACATTATTTTTAGTTTGAACATTACTTGGTTTCATGTTCAAATTTAAGTGGCAAAGGTTGAACCAATTAAACACGAGCTAGAGCCTGAAGATCTTGCTTGTTGAACTTCAGTTTGGTTTTCAAACATCACTCAAGACAGACATGAGAATAACATCACATGACTGACTGTTATTCATCCATATAAAATTTCATTCAGAAATTTATATAACCGATAAGCCATCAAAATAAGTTCTGTGTGACGGTTCTTCACTCAATCCAGTATGAAAGTTTACATTTTACAGTACATGATCCCCCCATCAAGCCAAACAACCAAAGAGTTTGCACAGTTATTACCTTGTCCGAGCTGCATCCATATTAAAAGTGTCATTTATCTAATTTTAGTGTCTGAACTTTCATATATTTGGAGGTTATTGTGTATTTAATAGTATAAAAATATTATAAAATATATTATTTGTTTAGCTACGTTTTGTTTTACAATGAATACCGTTTTATAGGCTTAAAAATGAAATACAATCATAATAAATGTAGATGGGGGAGAGTATGTTTTATTTGAATAAAAAAAAATCAATTCGCTTTTATAAAGCCCAAATTAGAAGTGGTGTTTGTCCCTTTTTATAAGACTCCATCTATAATGTCTCTTGAATTAATTATTTTAAACTAAAATATCCTTAACTAAAAGAGAGCTTATGCTGGAAAACAATTAGGAGAGGCAGAAATGAGTGTTAATGAAAAGAGTAGTTTTCACAATATATATATATATATATATATATATATATATATATATATATAACAAATTTATATCTATTAACTAAATTGAACATATTTTAGTCTAATATATTAAGTAATAGTCTAATAAATAGGAACGGAGAAAGTGATATGTTTTATAGTATTTGGTTGAAATAAAAGGATGACACCTAGGCAAATATGTCAACATGGCAGCAAATTAGATCATATTTCAAAACTTATATTATGAATAGATCCTTCTGTCCACCCAAAAACCATGTTATACAAGGTTGTGAATTGCATATATTAATTGACATCCATCCCTCTTTCTCAATGCATACACACAAGCACACATTAAGGATTTTGTTTATACTGTAAGGAAACAACAACCCAAAAGGCTAAGGTTATTTTATGTTAAAGCACACAAAGTTTTATTATATCTACCACACCTTTAATGCAATGCAAGAGCCTTCTGGAAAAGAAGCATTGAGAATGCTTATTCCACTTTTTTACCTTGAAACTTGACTTTATTTTAGAAAGATAGGAATGGCATGCATTAAACTTTTCAAACCACTTAATGGTACAAGCTCCAATACCATGTCAATGATCAATTGTACCAAAAACCCAAGTTCTCAAATAAAGGTGGCATAAGAATAGTTTTTTATCTCAAACATATACTGCAGATAAGTTGGCTAAAAATTCCGAAAAAATATATTAATAACAAGAAAACAGAATAAGTAGACAGGAATATATTAAATATGACTTTACCTGAGCTGAAATAGCTTGAGTAACTGTATACTCAGTTTCTCCCAGGAATTGTCTCCACAAAGCTTTGCACTGCATTGGAGTGATAAGCACATCCTCTGGGGAAACCTACATTTTATATAGATTCTCAAATATAATACTTTTACTATAACATTAACAGAGGAAATCAGAAACCACAATATCCCTATATACTACCTCCTCCCATGTGCTTGAAGCCAAAGTATCTGCAGAAGCTTCCCGAGTTACTAATTGTGAAGATGTTGAAGCACTAGTTTTATCTATGAGAGATGAATGAAGTATGCTTCCAATGGGATCTGGCTTCTCATCCAGGCGTATAGCAGCCATATCTGATAGAAGCTTCAGGGACTGATACATGGCAGCATAAGTTACTTTACAATGTGCTAAAAAAGAGTAGCAATTTCCAGTATAGTTTCATGTATGAGCCACAAAAAAAAATTAATTTTGAGTCAATTTTATCATTGATGTTGTTATCAATTACCGCAGAACGAGCATCCCTCGTAATAGCTCTAATATCTTCCTTCCCAGTCCAAACTCTAGGTAGTGAATCATTATCATGATTGAATACGGTAGAGAACCTGGAAATTATTAGAGTTAGAAATCAGTAAGCCACCAAAGTAATCCAAAATCTGAACATCTATTAGGAATAGTGCACTTTCATTCATCATACAAGAATAAACATGTACAACTAATATGTAATGCATCCTCCACTACAAAAACAATAGACAGCAACCAAGCCTTTTACTAGACAGGGTAATCAACATGGAACAAACAGTGTCATAATGCTCTATCACAAATCATGTATACAATCAAATTGAGACCATTAA